CGTATTTGAGATTCATCGCAATTCGACCATATCATTTGAATTCGATGTCAGTTTGATTTTGTAGCATCATCATAATTTGATGTTTAATTGAGTTTAAATAATCGTTTGTTTATTTTGATTTATTGTTGTAAAGTTAATTCAAATGTTTAAATATTAAATATATCCATCTGGAAATATTTGCGTAGTAGTTGTAAAGGTGTTCTCTCCAGTCGTTGCGATAAGAAGTTCCATTATCGGTGCGGTAATTAAGTGTAAATGTCTTTCGCTCCAAGTTAACACATAACACAATTTAAGGAAGGAGGAAAGAAATACAAAGATAGGGAAATGGTTTTGAATAACAGAGGAAGATTTGAATCGGGGCCGCTTATCGTTGTCTTATTTTTTGGTGGACGTTGAAACGTAGCTGCTTATTGTTTTGTATGTGGCAGTTTTAATATTAATGAAGCTTTTCAGAAGACAGTCAGTTTTGTTTAATTGTACAGTTTTGTGGAAGAAAGATAGAGAGTGTTTAAAGAGAGATAAAAGTGAATTTTTTTTATTACTTGAAGGAAACAAAATAAAACCGACTCTAAAGTAAACGGTAACTAAACAAGCATTTCTTTCTCCATATACGTAGATAAACATAATTTAAACAAAAATGTACCTAGAAACTTTCTGTCACAATTAAAATGCTCAATGACTTTAAGATAATCAATGCTAATATTAATTAGGTAATAGCGATAGATAAAGAATAGGACTTTCTTTTCTTCTTGAAAAAAATTAAGTTGCTTACGACCGCACCTATGGAGATCCAAGTTAAAGAAATTTCAAAGACTAAAAACTAAGTTTTTTTAAATGAAATGGCCATTTTCTTACTATTGCATTTGACAGAGAATTAAAATTGGCATATTTTGATATTGTAATATTTTGATATTGACTATCTTTAACAGTTTCTGACTTACATTTGACTTTCATTGAATTGGTACCATTTTTTTCGGATTTTCTTTTTAGTAGTCGGCCATGATTTTATTACAATAAAAACCTACCTATTTCGCTTTCCCAGAAACGTTTAAATAAAGCTCCCAAAAAACACCTTGTACTGGAAACACTCTGAAATCCTAAGTGGGTACAACATATCATAGATAACTAATTTACATAAAAAATAGAAACACAAAAGACACTATAATCCGCTTACAAAAAATGAAAATATCCGACCAACGCCGTGACGAATACAACTAAAACTAAATAAGGCAAATGTGCATCTGCGATTGGAATGGTGAAACTAACCGACCTGCTGAACAATTGGGGGGGGGGGGGTTGTTGTTCAGCTTGGAATGGAATGCAAGGTCGATGTCGGTGACATGCACTTAAAGTATTCAACCTCGTACTTAGGCAAACAATTATGTACATATTCAGTTTTGTCTTCGGGAGGTCCTAAAATCTAAATGGTCGACATGAAAAGTGTTGAAAGATAGAATGGAGTGTTAGTATCCTTCCTCTTTCCCCGAGTGTCTCTACTTGTACAAACAGTGTATCCTATAGGGCCGAAATGAGAATGGGCTGTATTCGCTCAGATTAATCTGCATCTCGACAGCGCGAAGCAGTCACGAAATTTATTAAGGATGTTCACAGGTCTTTTTCTGAATTTCTCTTCAACGGGACCAACGGTGATGTCAGAAAAGGTTTTTTCTTCAACTTCGGAGAGTTTGCATATTTGTTCAGATCGTTCTTGATATGTACTGCAACTCGGAAAAATTCCTCCCTAACAAAATGGGCGTGTCTTGCACAGAATGAACCAAAATAGTTTCCACATTACCGTCTATTGTTATCGTGATTTGGGCATTCCCTAGCGTTGCGGGGGAACCATTGCCATAGCCATGTAAAAGTGTTCTTGGTGGTGACACCCAAGCGGTTGGTTTCTGATAGTGTTATTCTGATTTGTGAGCTTCCCAAATCTGCGTGGGCTAGTGAAGGTGTTTGATTAATAAATATACGTTTATGAATTTTTCGTTCGCCTTATCGTACACTAGTCATAACTATTATGCGCAGTAGTTAGGTTTCAGTGATCTTTTCTTGTGGTAGCAGACTTCTTTAGTGTGACCAGTTACTCGACAAAAATTGCGCCGGTTTCCCTGTTGGTAATTATTATCAATCGGTCGAGCAAGTATATCTCTGCAGTTAATTGCAAGATGTCCTGGTCTCTTGCAAGTATAACACAATTTCCCAAACAGAACGTTTACACGCATAGTTCAGGTTGCGCTGCTTATGCTTGAAGATCTTGAGCCATACTATCTAGGCTCGACAGATACACAAGAAGAGACTCCGTCGTGTCGAAATTTGTAGTGTTGTGAGTCATTCTCCAGTTAAAATTGCTGACCTTGAAGTAGTCAAGGCACTAAGTTGTGTGACTAAAGTTAATAAACAAATACCAAAGGGGTTCTTACAAAATTGTACATCTAGTAAGCAAGTTTGCTGAGTACCGTACTCATGGCTCTCAAGATCGAATGTCTCGAATATGGAAAGTCAATGGCCCATCAGGATGTCGCTCAACGCGAGATGGCGACCGAACTGGAGGATCAAATCATGATATATCATTTAAACATTTATTTTTAGTATCATGTTCTTTTTTCATTTTGTTATTCATGTCAATCGCCTTCTGGGTGAATTATATCTATTTCTGTCATACCAAATCTAGTTTAATTTAATTAAATTATGGGGAATGGTTTGCGTTTTGGATCTCCATTAACGATTGGCCCCATTGTGAGAAAACTAAGATCAAGATGGACCTCAACAATTATAGTTGTTAACCGTACACATACTAAAAACCTTTCACTATAGATTACGGATTAAAAACCAAATCTGCACTAATTTTGGTATAGGTACTCTTATTATATTACGGAATTTTTGCTGCTTTCAGTCATCTCTGATGTACTTTTTGGTGTAATCTTCATTCAAATGAGCAACGAAAACGTGTTTGCAACGCATTTACGTGAAATTGTTGGTTTAATTTTTACGATTGAGAGAGTAAATATGTGCGCAACATTTTAACACATTCCGTTGGCGTAGTAATAACGATAATTTGATAACGTATTTAATTCAGTTGTTTATGTTTTTATTTAAACAAGATAAACTTCCATTACATACTAAATTCAGAAAGGAGATGCGTCAGGTTTGATTAAAATTTAATACTCTTTCGAAAACTCTTTTCATGAATCCATCTAAACTATAAAGTGCTTTACCCACGAGATACTTTTGTTTGCCTTCTGAAATTGGTTTTTGTTCTTATTTTTGTAGAGCCAGGACATCGTATCTTGAATAAAACGTAGTTGCCTCCATTATAGGCATTACCTTATGTACGAAAATAGGTACATTTCGTTTTTTGCATTTTTCAAGTGCATTCAGCTCGTGCAGGTAATATTTTGTACGGAACTGTCCTGAAAATACACTAGAAGGGTGTGCAGTTGATAAAGTGGATCGTGAAAGATGAGTTCAATGAAGACATAGGCTATCTTGTCACTTCAGTGAAGTGTATGCTCAAATATAGTTGCCAATCGAAAAATAAAGACGTATTCCTTCCAAACACACGAAGTAGCCAGCATATAAGTAACTCACAAGTGGAAAAATCAAAGATCATAATTATACAGAGTTTGCAAATAAACCTGGAACTATTGCTTTATTAACTATCTAACATCCGTTATCAAGATATTTACTGAAAGAATATTTATTTAAATGAAACGTGGTGTATTTTTCCATATTTCAGAAGACTACGAAATTATGGATTAAAAATCTGTATTATTGCTATTTGTTAGATTTTTCCTCTTAATTAACGAGCTCCCAGCGAGTTTATAATTTTGCGGTGTCTGTCCGTCTGTCCGTCCGCCCGTTAGCACGATATCTCGATAACGAATGAACCGATTACGATGAAATTTTGTAGGTGGATTCTTTATCAAATTTGTAGATCGGAGTTGTTGAATTGGCAATGTAGCCCTCAAAATAAGGAAGGTCCTTTTGACATCTGTGTGAGTTATGAACCGAATTGCATCAAATTCAATATGCGTATAGCTTTAGCCATATAAAACGCAATTCCAAAAGTTGAGCCTAATCGACCAACATTCACAGTGCCCTTTTCGCATCTCGACCATTTATAAACCGAATTGCATCCAATTTATGGAGGGATTTGAATAAATGTTAGTAAATCATTTCGTACCTGCAGCTCTCTCTGCAATGATTATCGAGAATATTCATCCTGTTGGGCCACACGGAACAGTAAAAATATCAAAAACCCTTTGCCTGCTTTTGTGTAAATTCTCGTTGCGTTTATTTAATTTTGCAATTGAGATAGAAATATGTGTACGAACGATTTAATATAAATGGTGTTGTACTTTTTTGTTTAGCTTTTAAAATTAATTAAATCCTGACTGATTTAATAAACTGTACACAGCTTGCGGCTATAAAATGAATGCCATAATATATTTTACTCACAATCGGTTAGTATTATCTGAATTCCTAACCTTCATAGCGGTTGCGAAGCGACTCATTACTCACCTTAGCCGGGAAAGTAACTTTCCCGGCTAGCTGTCACTTTCCCGGCTAGCATCTGTCACTTTCCTTACCTGCAAATGCTATTCATATTATCCTTATATGAAACTTATACTAATAGTGACACCGCCAATGTAACCATTAATGTTTACAACAATAGCAAATTACGAAGAAGAACGAAACTATTTGCTATTGTTGTAAACATTAATGGTTACATTGGCGGTGTCACTATTATTGACAGTTAAAGTAACACCTTGTTGAATTATATACTTTACCTTAAATGATCGATTGTGAGTAAAATAGTATACAAACCTCGCTGGTCAGTGGTTCATAACCAACGCCTCGCGCTTATACCTCACCTCCGCGCTTCGCGCGTCGGTGAGGTACCTTAAGCCCTCGGGGTAGGTAATGAACCACCTCCCAGCTCGGTATGTAATCTACTATTTCGTCATCCCATACTGTTATTTCAATTTAACTCAACTCATTTGACAAATGAAATATCATTCATAACGGACGGCGTCCGTTAAAAAATAACGGACGCATATGCGGCCGTTAAGAAATAATGCTTTTATTGAAATACAAACAACTACTTATTATAATGAATATGAAAATTAAAGTGACAGTTATTATTGCTAGAAATCTGTAGTCCATCGTAGGAAACTTGAGGACCACTATCACCTGTTGATGTTACACTTGATGAAGAAGCTGTGGCTATGGATGTTGTAATTTCAGAGTTTCCATTGGACCTTTGAAATAGTTGTTTGGTGATTTTTAATCGCTTCGAAACAGAATTTTCAATATACGACTCCGCTACCGCAGATGAATCCCAGCCTCCAAGTTCCTTCACTGCTAGGAGATCGCCGCCATTTTCTGCAAGCATGGTAGCGGATGACCTCCGAAACGAATGGCCCGTGTATAACTCTGGGTTTTTTAATTTTAAGAACTTAGCAATTTTCCTGGGAACACCCCCAATGGTATGAATGCCCACAACCTGCCTAACACACTTTTCTTTGCGGTAGACAATGAAAAATCGCCGAGTTTCTAAATTTTGAGGACGTTTTTCCGCGTATTTTTGGTATAACTGATACGCATTGAAGGGAAGTCCTTCTTTCGGAATTAGAAACACTCTGCTTTTCTTATTTTTTGTGATCCGCAATGTAACTATTACGTTTTTGTTGGTGTCTTCAAAGTCCTCCACGTTCAACTTCAAAAGCTCATCACCCCTACAAGCGCCAAATATTCCACATATTAAGATGACTTTTTCTAGGAGCCACGTTCAACTTCAAAAGCTCATCACCCCTACAAGCGCCAAATATTCCACATATTAAGATGACTTTTTCTAGGAGCCATACACCATCATCAGCTTCCAATAAAAATGTCATGACTTGCTCTTCAGACAAAATGTTAGACTTTTTTGGTCTGTAACCTTCAGACTTTCGTTTCAAAAAGGCGAATAATTTTCCGAATCTGTAATGTAATAAACATCCCCAATACACAATAAATACACTACATGAATAAATTACCAACCTTGAAATGTCAATGTTGTCATATACCTTCAAAGTGAGTTTCAACATTGAAACTTTTGTCCATAATGAATTGGGCGAGTACATTTCCGATTTTCCCTTTACGTACGCTAATAACACGTCTTCATTTACTAAATTGATCCTCTTAATCTTAAGCCATTCCTTGAAATCTTCGTATTCTTTTTGATATCGCTCCCTGGTCTTTTCTGGTAGCAAATCGACACTTGCAGCCATGGAGTCTGCTAATACGTCTGGAGGAATATTGATATTTCCTTCAATTACGTCCATATTTTTGGAAAACCGTCGTAGAGCTTCTCAGCACGCGTTTTTAACGAATTGTTTATTTTTCAGTAGTTGCGTCCATGACAACCGCTAACATGTGACCATAAGCATACCATGATCAAGATAATTATTATATTTAAGTATTGCGAAAAGATGGATCTTTATGAAGTCGAAATATATAATTTCCACATAATGGGATGACGAAAAATCTTGAACGACACACGGCCGATACGCAAATAACGGACTTGGTTGAATATAAACCTCGGCTGACGCCTCGGTTTACAAACTTCAACCACGTCCGTTATTTGCTACATATCGGCCTTATGACGTTAATAAAACTAATTGAATTTGATAAATATTTGTCAAACTCGTTTTATAAATCACCAAATATAAAAATACTGCACAGTATTTGTTATGTGATGTTGGAACAGGGAGGATTAGAACAGTTAAAACCGTAACGTTTACTATCTCCGCTTAATAATGAAATTATTAAAGTTATACATATACACATAGTACGTGTAACTTGCCGGGTGTTTACTTCCTCATTTTGCATACGAAACTGAGCAGAACTATAATGTCTATTACTAGTTTGAACATTGAGCACACGAGTGTACTATTAAAATTCAACGTATCTTGATCGTCAAATGGATGCAAAATAATTAGTATCACAATGCCTATAGTTCTGAAACACTCAGATCTGGAGACGACATTCGAACAACTTAACTGTAATCAGACACCGCATTTGATTATGTAGTTTAAGATTAAACCATGTCAACTCAATTGGCAAGCTAATACTTGCAAGCGTGCACTATTATGCAGGCGTCTGACGAGAGGTACCGACTTGAAAAACAGAAAATCCATTACGTGTGATTGTAACACTTCATATATCACCGAAAAACTGAGAATGGCGAAAATCTTATCTATCCCGTATCACCATCTTTGGGTAACTTTTTTCTGCGAATCTGAATCGGATTATCAGAATTTCCATAGCACGCCACTCGTGCCACAAGATAGTCGTATTACAATAGGTCGCATTGTAACACTTGTCTTTCAATATACTATTCTTTAGGTAATTGATTTTCTGTGATCATTATTTGGTGATCCATTAAATTCATCCACCACTATTTAATAAATTACATTTCACGTGTTCCCAACTTTATAAACCTTTTGCTTTGCGAGAAATTCTAATCAATCATTTTGGATCATTTGCAACCTTGCCAAGGTTTTCGAAATGACTTTATATGCACGCTTATATCCTGCCATAGCCACAAGAATCTCACCACATCAGCATGGATTTATAAGAAAACGCTCCACGGTATCCAACTTAGCTTCATTTATGAACGTCGTCGCACCTATTCTAGATGCTCGTGGGCAGATCGATACTATATACACGGACTTCTCCAAGGCTTTTGATTTGATTGATTTGAGTGGATCATCACCTACTTCTCAGGAAACTAGATGTTCTCGGATTGAGCGACCCTCTCCTAAACCTGCTGTATTCTTATCTTTCGAACCGTCTGCAGTATATCACTTATAATGGACATATGTCGGATAGCCTTATGGCTACTTCTGGAGTACCACAGGGCTCTAATCTAGGGCCGCTGTTATTTATAGTTTTCGTTAATGACCTACTAGAAGCTATTGCTGCCCACAAGCTGATGTATGCAGACGACCTTAAGGTATTCGCACCTATTGAATCGACCAATGACTGCAAGTTCTTACAAAGTCAACTAGAATTAATCCACAAATGGTGTGGTGACAACAACATTCAACTGAACGTCGTAAAATGTCGTGTCGTAACGTTCACCCGGAAGAAGAGTCATATTCTGTTTAAATATACGCTCGCCTCTACACATCTAACGAGGTGTGACTCTATCAAGGACCTAGGTGTCATATTTGACACTAGCTTAACATTTGTGCATCATCGGAACTCTGTGGTGGATAGTGCTAGCAAACTACTAGGATTCATATTTAGGAACTGTTCGACATTTCACAATGTCAAAGCCTTCAACACGTTGTGTTTTTCATTTGTTAGATCTAAGTTGGAGTATGCGTCCTTAATCTGGTGTCCGCGTGCTCGTAAGCATAGAGGAAGTACCCGAAGTTCGTGAGCTTTAAGATTGATGGAACATACCCGTCTAGGGGATTTAATCACGACCAATTGCTCAGTCGTTTTAAGTTATTTTCGTTGGAACATAGACGTATTACTACATCAATTAAATTCTTATACGACCTACTTCACAATCTCATAGATTGTTCTAGTCTCCTTGATGGAATACAATGGCGTGTGCCACGACTTGTCTCCAAAAGTGATCAAACGTTTTACTTGCCTCGAAGTAACACTAACTTAATGTTAGTCTCCCCTATATATGTTGCATGTCAGCGCTACAATAATGTATCCTTATTTTGTGACATTAACCACGCTACATGGAACTGTATTAAACATTTTCTCAATAACAATAATTAACCAGCTTTAACACTTGCTACATTTCTTTCGTTACCCTTATAATTAGAATTTTCTTAGAACATTTATCTTTTATTATTTTGTTTTGTTCTCTTCTCCTTTGGAATTACGTACGTGTAATTACGTCACTTATTCAATTATTCAATTGTAAGTCTATGCTATTTAAGTCTAACTTACTTGTTGTATTTTGTATTTGTCCATAATTGGTTTATACACTGTTGGGCAATAAAGTTATTATATTTATGTACCTAAACCAATTTTATTGATGAATTATGCGTTCACTGCACACAATCATTAAATCATGGCAGATGTTACATTCTAATGACAACTTTGTCATTTCCGCACCGCGAGAGTGCAATTAACGTGTAAAGGCCGAAAAGTCTAAATTAGTGCATAGCAGTGCAGCAAACCACTTGGATTTCTGAAAGCGTAATAATGAAAGACCTGGTGCCGCATAATGGAATTGTATGAAACTTTCTAATCGAATTTTGTTTGTTGAATGGGATCTAAAAATAAAACCACATTTATTTTTTTCTCTTTGAGTTTTCTACTTTACGGGATAGGGTACAATACAATATGGAATTTTGTTTGCTTCTGTGCTTGCACCCCCGTGTAATGTTTTTGATTTGTATGTCAAAGAAACATTGAAATATAATACATTTTCTTTCTAATAGCAAATTTCCTTGATAATTATCTAGCCTTTGAATGGAAACAGTCGCCTTTATGCTTTAGGCAAAGGAGTGGCTGGCTTAGTCCCAATCGCGTACTTTCGAAATCTTGAGGAAACAAAGGGTTTCTTATTGAACGTCTGAGAATCTGTTTTGCACCAGCTTTTTAATTAAGTACAACATCAATACATTCGTAATCAACGTCAAAACAATACCACTATTAGTTACTTAAGAGGTTGTTGTGCATAGATATTGTACCTACTAATATGCCTGGGTCATACTTTTATATCGCTACTGGCACTTCAAGCTAATTTAACCATTTATTCGCTTGAATTGTTTTACAAAAGAAAACGCCTGACATTAAAAGTGATTAGAAACGGCATTTTAAAGTAGTAGACAATTCAACCAAATTTCGAGAACTGTCGTAAAAGTGTAATTTATGTACCTACAATAAATAGCGCCTGAATGGCTTCTGACTAAAAAATAAAGGCTGAACTTGACATTTGTTAAAGGCTTCATATAAATTAAATTTTACATTTAAGCTGAATACCTGATCATGAAGTCGAAGTAAAACACTCGCTATGGAAATTTTGATTATTTTTAATAATATGGAGAGCCAACAGTTACCTGACAGGATGGTAAAATTTGACTTTATTTCCAAAAGTAAATGTAATATTCATCACTTATTAAATTTATATTTTCGTTCGGCAAGTCACACTTAGTCTTCTAACTCTATGGGTCACACAGACGGCTGTTGATGCGACCTGAAAACGTCTGTACCTAGGGAGTGCTACCCATAAGATAAATACATATATTGAAATCAAAAAGCTACAAACAAGATGTAATTGCATTTTTTATTTTCACAGATAATTTTAAATCACACACTTGGCTTGCCCAAAGCACAAGAGGCTCTAAATTTACTGGATTCGTAAACATAGGTACATTTAAAAGCAATTACAAACACACTTATATGGACTTCTTTTTGTTGAATTCAGAGGTTATCTTGTTAATTGCTGGTTCTGATGATTATATTTAGTGCGCTTAATTCTAAATAAAAAACGATGGAGATGGACCTTCAATTTTGTAACAACAAATTTGACTGACGCAAGGCTGTGCCGGTAACTCACAAACACTTTTAGACATTCTTAATTTCTTGATCCTACTATACCTCATGGTGCACTTTAGAACGCTACAATGATACCGCTCCATTACCAGCATAAATTTTTATAATACAAAATCGACAACATATAGAACTTGCTCCAAACTTTGTTTTACTTTCGGTATTTGTCAAAAATTTGCACAATTGCGTTTTCATGCCATCAGCTAATTTGAATATGTATTTAAATTTCAGGTCTTGATAAAGTAAATTCTTTAAACCTCAGTCTACGTATGAACACACATAATTCGTGCACAAGAGTTATATTTCCATGATATCAAAAAAGAGCGACTTTAAAAAAAATTCATACAACCTCTTATAATAAAAATTTGTAAATACTCACAGCACTACCTACTTCTACTTCACCTTCACCTAGGTACTTATCTAGATGAGTAAATCTGTAAACCCATAATGTCTTCATAGTTGATGACGAACCCGATATACCTTCTCGTTGGCAATTTAAATTTACGGACCAACACATGCACATAATTTTTATTAGTCGACTTTTCTGTTTTGGGGATTCGATAGCTGAGTATGGAGGTCTTTACTTTGTCTTGGCAGCTCTGCTATGGTAGATGGCGCTGACTTCTTCCGGTACAGTTACGATTTGATTTCGCGTGTTGGTTGGAGCTGGTGCGATTTCACTTGTTGCTTCTTGCGCAGTGATTCTACCAATCTAACGCGTGTAATCGTCAACGGGGTCATCAGGCCTTGTCTGTATAGTTGGACCGATAACCGGCTGCCCACCAACCCCGCAATAATTCGTAATTTAATAATCTCTCCTTCTAATTGGACACTCTCGCACGTCTGGCTCATAGCGGTTAGGACGTTTCTAAATATGCCGCATGGTTCATCCGACCCTTCCGCATGGTTCATCCGACCCTTGCACTCTTTGGAGAAACCTCACTCGTTCATAGACAAATTTTTTCTTTTGGCCGAAAAATGTCTATAATGATCGCGAGGTTTGTTTGATTCTCTGCCGAAAGGGGAAAGGACTAAAGTTATTTATTTATTTATTCATTC